GAGGAGAGGGCATCTCTCCGATCCCTTCAGTCCTGCAGTGAGAAGCTTTGGCACAAAAACACCATGGGACGAGATGACGCATCACAACACGGTGCTAATGAGGGACACTCATGCAGGACTCGCTCCAGTCCTGGAGGAGATGAGGTCAGTGAACCCTAACATGCATCGCCACCATACTGCCAGGGCAACAGACGACAAGAGAGGGGCTGAGCAGCAGAGGAGAGGCTGGGAGGGAAATAAAGGGTTGAACATGAGAAAGAGGGGGAAAAAATTTCAGCGGGAGCAATGACAGAGAGTAAAAGGCTAAGGAAAATTATTTCCTTATCAGGGCAACTAGAGGTCATAAAGAGAACAGTGTCCTACAAATGACAATGATAATTTCTGCCCAAAGTGGTAGTTTTCCAGCTTCTCCTCCGTTCCTCTCTGTCCCCTCCATCTCACAGAGACGACTCCACCTCTCTGGTGATGGTAACCTCAGCCTCTGACCGAGGGCACACCTGAACGCCTGCAGCCTGCTCCGAGGTCTCACTGAGCACTTCCAAGGCTGGAGCAGCAGCTGGCCTGCAGTCACTGCTGGCCTTCTTGTCAGAGCCTGTGTTCTGTTTGTCGGCAGAGCCGCAGCACAGCTTGGGAGCACACTGAGTCCGACAAGAAAGCTCACAGAGGGAGTCTCGAGACTCCGAGTTGAAAGTGACAAACTCTGGCTGGATAGTTGTGGCATGGATGCCCTCATCATGGAAGAAGTCCTTGATCCGTTTGGCAACATCCATGTAAGATGTGGGGTCATGGCATTTGATGTGAGCTGTGGCAATGATGCGGCTGCCGGCTAGCTGCCAGATGTGCAGCTCGTGGATGGCCAGAACACCGTCCAGACTCAGTAGTCGCTCATTGAGCCGGTGCATGTTGACCTGCTTGGGCACGGTCTGCAGCAGGATGAGGGCTGACTCTTTGAGCAGCGGGTAGGTGGTATACAGCAGGATGCCCACCATGATGATGCACAGAGTGGGATCCAAGTAGAGGACCCAGCAGGGGCCAGCAGTCATCACGGCCGGCATAGGACCATCGTTCCGGTCGACCACCGTTTCATTGACATGCCGGTGGTCTGTAGCGTGACTGTTGACACACGGGTTGTCACACCCGGGTTCTTTGCAGGGCTGCCACACAAAGGTAAATATTATAGCATTAACAACCACGATGACGGAGCCCAGGGCATCGCCTAACACATGCAGGAAGACCCCGCGCATGTTGAGCTGAGATGACGAGTCGTGGTCATGATCCATCTCCTCATAGTGGGTGTTGCCATTCATCTGCACCTCTGTGCTGTCTTTACAGCTGATTTCTGTAGATAAAAACAGGGAGGTTAGTTTACTTTTCTGGACCATGAGGTGACAGTGAAATAATCTACTGAACTTTAACGCTTAGATACTAATATAGCTTTCAAAATATATACATGTACAGACAACAGGGGGACTATAACAAAAGCAGAAATGTCTACAGATATTACAGTAAAACAAAGCAATAATCTCATTATGGTGCAAAAAACAAAGCTATAAATAATCAGCTTGCAATAAGAGTCCAAAAGGATGCTTTCAGTAGCAGCCAGTGGGTAATTGTTCAGTTACATCATTTGGGGTCGAAGCACAAGTCCATCTGAAACTTGAAACAAAAGAGGCAGAACTCAGCCTGTGATGTTATCAGGTGACATGTGTTGGAGCTGCTCCAATCAAAGTCAAGAGGACAGTGACTACAGACGATTTACATACAGTCCATTAAAGAGGACATATATTCCAATAAGGTGTGTTGTTTTTTCTTGCAAACAATGTTCTCACTTTCACTGTGGAAGAGAATTCAGCCTTGTAACTGAGTCTGTGCTATAATTGCTCAGGGCTACAACCAGGAGACACACACCAGACAGTCATGGAGGACTCCCAGCATGTGGGATCCTAAATGCTAAAAAACACTCTGTAGAAATTCTCATTAAGCAAATTCAATTAGTAATTGCAGGCAGCGAGGTAGCATACACAATGTGCTGGAGGGAAAGGCACCTGAGCAATGGCTGCTTTCTTCCATCCCAAGACTCTACGGGTCATTCATCAATGGCTAATGGTGCGACTTGGGCTGTCGCCTTCATGGTTACACTGATGTATGACCCAGTAATAGCGATCAGTGCATGGGGTGGAGGGGTGGGAGGGGCACAGCCTTAATTTATTGAAAATGGCAGAGCTTAACAGTGTGGGGGAGAAATGGTCTCCTGTTTAACCATTCAGTGAGCAAGGATTTCCAGTGACATGCCCAAGGATGCTTTTGCGGGGGTCTTTTGACTCACAGACAGAAGGAACTGTATACATACAGTCCCTTCTGTATGTGTGTACACATACTGTGTGTGTATGCCTGTGGTAACCAAATACCACAACATGGCTGTGTAACAAACAAGCTATAACTACTTTATAAACATTGAATTCACTTGTACAGTAACTGTGGAAATTCAAGTACAATGTGACCATGAAAAATAAGGCACAAGAGCTTTGAGAATTTAGCAGTATTTGACTCTTCCACGTGTTTCAACTTGTCAAAAACCTGTTTCTTGGCAGAGTCAGCCAGAAGCTTCTACATCTCTATTTACAATCCAGCTGATTGTCGTCAGCCTTTACAAAGACTGAAACCCGAGTATTCATCCATTTATGTCACTGGAGGCGGCCACGTTTCCAAGGCCACCAACAAATATCTGACAGCTAACACCTATGTCTAAATATCACAGTTGTGGGGGAAACAATAAGGATAAGGATTAGTCACTTGGGCAGGTTGCCCTGGGGTACACTGGAGATGTACGTATGTACTGTTACGCAATCTGGACTGCTAACAATGGAGATAAAGTCCGGGACATGGTGTCAGAATAATTGTGAGACACAATGAGGCTTGATTAGTGGAGTTTGGACACTTTATAATGGCCTTTATTGTACACTTAAAGACAAGATTACATAATTTAACACAGAGAAGACAAACAAACATAATAAAAGACACAATGACTGCAGTTCAGAAAAAATGCCCCAACTCTGCTTACTTACCATTTCTCGGTCTCGCATCCCCCGGGCTGTTGTGATTTCCCACCAAGTTGTTGGTCTCCTCTCCTGAAGACCCATTCCCAGCCTTCTGAGACTTGCCCGTTTTACCCCTCTTGTTCTTATTCCCATGAGAGTGACCTCCGTGGGAGTGACCGTGGCCTCCACCGGCGTGCCCATGGAACAAGCAGAGCCCGAGCAGGTTGACCAGGAGCCCCGCGGCACCGACCCCGGCGACCACCAAGGGGCTCTCGATCTCATGGGGCTCGGTGAAGCGCTCGACCGCCTCTAGGACGATGGTGAAGCACAGCGCAGTGAGAAAGACGGCGTTGACCAGAGCCCCCATTACCTCCGCCCGGATCCAGCCGAAGGTGTTCTTGTTGGTCGCATGGGTTTTCTCGGCGAATCGCACGGCGACCAGCGCCACTACCAGTGCAATGACATCCGACAGCATATGAAAGGAATCCGACAGCATGGATAGAGATGAGGTGATCCGGCTGACCACCACCTCCACAATGAAAAACCCAAAAGTCAACGACAGCATGCAGAGCAGCCGGACTCGATTTGGCTCGCAAGCCATCTTCCCTTCCTCACAGTAGTCAAGTCAAGTTTAGAGCTAACGTTAAATAACGTTTTACCGTGTCTTCTTACGAGATCACCCGGACATCAGCTAGCTAGCCCTCCGGTTCGACTCAGAGCTAACGACTTGCGTTAAGCTAGCTGGCTTTCTGAGACAATACGGTTTGTGCTAACGGCGTCTTCATTCACTGCTGTTATCCAGCGACGGCAGCATCACTCGGCCTAACCTGGAGACAACAACAGGCGAAATTAATCCGTGGTACAATTCTAGTTACCAATTAATTACACCGCGGTCGTCGCCAGTATATTCCAGAGATGTTTGCCGACGAGCTCTGGTTTGCAGACGGCTGAAACTTTGCACCCGAACCGGTAAACTTTCCGCACGGAACAAGGCACCGCAAGGACACGCCCTAGATAATTTCTATTGGTCGAGAGGTTACGAGGTGGGATCTGAGTGGTTAGATTTTGCAACTCTCGCCAGTAAACGGAGCAAACAAACCAGACAACAGCGGTTGCTACGCACGCCGATTGCAACTGTAATCTCGCGATGACATCCTGAATTGATTTTGTAAATCCATTTAGTATCGATACTTCAGTTAGAAAACCATCTGTTTTAACTCGTTTAGATATTCAACCTATGAAAGTGAATAAACACTGGCATTTATTCGCCTTCTTTATTGTAAACCCCTTTCATAATTATTTTATTGTTGAAAATATTGTTTTACTGTTGACACTGATAAATGTTTCCATACTGCAAGTGTGTTAAGAACAAAAGAAACTCAAACATTTTAATGGAATAAGCCAAACGTAGTTATATCTTTGACAAAAAACATTTAGAAAATAACTATACCGGTCATAGTGGAAACCTATTGTTCAAAACATGTTATTTTCATTTAATCAATTTAAACTGTGCCCATTAATTAACGAAACATCAACATAACAATGTCCTTGCTAATTATGTCCTCTAATCTGCCTTTAATCAAGAACAAACGACTTTCAGGTGTTCTGTATTGCCGGTGTTGGCTATAATCAGGAGACTCTCAATGCAGTGGCAGGCTTCATGGGAAACTGATGACCCCTTGTGGGAACTATCCGTCTTGATTAAAATATGCCGATGTGGCATAGTTGTAATGTAAATTAAAAACTACTTGACTTTATTTTATATAAAACTAAAAAACACTAGTTGTACTTCATATTTAATTTTACTGTGCATGTGCAAAAGACTCTGTATTTAATATATATTTTACAGTGTGCACAGACAGTATGGCACAACGCTTTTCTTCAGGATGAATAAAGCTGTTGTTTTATCATAATAATTTATTACTACCATCAATAGTTTTTCAACAAAAAATGTACTGTAAAGGAAAATAAATTTGCATAGTTTACATGTTCATTGTTATCACAGGCTCAGGAGTTGTTTTTCACACCATTATCACTTCTTACAGATACAAGTCATGAAAGAAAACTTCACTTACATATATATATACATACAGCGCAAATGGGCTACACAGTACATTCACAATCACAATAGCTGCCAATAAAATTAACACATTCACACATCAAACTGTCAAACTAAGTAAACTTGTGACACTACAAAGCAACAGCATTAACATAAACTGGATTGAATCATTTGACTTCACTACTGTCACAGCTACTCAATTATCATATAAATAAATCTTCATTTACATCCAGTTATTATGACTCTTAGCCTTTGGTTTCAAGACCACCAATGATATCTGTTTGATCAGCGGATGCCGAGGATCTGTCTGCTCTTGAACTGACAGGCCTTTTCCACTTCGTTCAGTGTTTGAGCACGCAGATTGACCGCCTGCAGCCTCCTCAGCATCAGCTCCTGGGACGTCACACTCTGACGACTATCAGGTCGCTGGTTCTCTTTGCTCTCACCAGCAAAGTGGACCTTCTTCTTGCCAGGGGAGAGGCTCTCCACATCTAGGACAGTAAGGAGTTACTGATTAACAAAAATTGGAATAAACTTTATATCATCAGGCAGCCTTAAGAACAGTCTTTGCAATCCAACATGACAGCTGGATTTCAGATTGTCAGGCATGTAATATGAGCTAGAAACTTTAAAATGCAGATTTAATTTCATTCTTTATTGGTGTATAAAAACTTTATTTGCATGATTTAAAAGGTGATAAATAAACTTGATTTTAGTCATCTGTAATCCAAACAGAAGCACAAACACATAAAAACTCAGTTCTTGTCTTGTTTCATTAAGTCCAGAGGTTGTCGTCTGATTCCCATACCTATGTCTTTGCCATGGAATGGTGCCAGGTCCCTCTGCTGCTGTAGACGGTTGTAATTCTTTAGTAAACTCTCTGCCCTGAAACAATAGGTAAGAGTGAACAAAATGTACCAGGTCAGGTACAATCAGGTTGACAGACTGACAAAAAGAGCAAAAATGTGTAATCAGGATTGTTTCACTGACCATCTCTAGTCTTCTTTGAAAATATAAGAAGGAAAAAACAAAAGTTGTACCTTGCAAGCTTCTCATTTGACAATCGTTCACGAACACAGAGCTCCTGCTCTCTTTCTGCCATGAAAAGACAACAAAAGTAAAACATTATTTTTGGAATTTGTAGCACGTTTGCCATGTGTGACTTACAATGTTTTACTTGATCATCTTTTAGACATACTGTATGCAGACATTTATGGCCAGGGGCTTTGGGTGTGGAGGTTACTAGAAGTAGGCAAACGTCTGGTTCCAACACTTCTGTTGCAACAGCAACCTGTTCAAACCTGTTCCAGTCACGCAACGTTCTTCTACTACACTGTCACCCTCTTAATAAGACACACAGTGCTCTCTTTAATTTATTACAAACACACTGCATCAGTACTACTACTAATCTTAAGTGGGCTGAATCAAACCACATCCTTAAAAAAAACAAAAAAAAAAAAAATGGCAATAATGCCTATAAAATGCTTGTAAAGAAAGGACTTTGTCCTGAGGAGGACACATGTAAGAGTGATACATCGGTACTCAAAGATCCTCCAAGTGATTCTTTACACAGATATCAAAGACCTGGTATAGAGTGATATATAAATGTTTTTCAGAATCCACACATTTGTAATGGAGAGTGAGTGCAACTGCAGGTCATACCGTCTCTGTGGCCAGGCCGCAGTACAATTAAACCCTGACTGGACATTGAATCAAGGTCTGTGTGGTAAAAATGGGACTGAGGATCAAAGTCTTACGCTCCAGCCTCTCTTCACGCTCCTTCAGCGCCTTTTCTCTGTCCCTCAGTGCCTGTTCCCTGAGTCTGAGCTCTGCAGCAGAGGTGGGGGCTGCTTCAGCCGGCTTGTGTAGGGGACAGTCAGAGTCGGCTGACTTCCTTTGCAGCCGCACCTCTGCCCTCCTCTGCTCCTCAGCAACCGCGTCAGCCAACAAGCTGCTCTGGAGAATAGACTCCACAGAGGGCCTCAGATAGTCCTAGCAACAGAGAGGACCCATTACTGTACCCCAACTATACCAGAAAAAAACAGACAAACTGAGTATACTGTTTGGCAAAGTGAATGGCTATCTTAAACAATATTACAGGATTGGTGAATAATTCATTTCTAACCTTTAGGTTGAGCATTTTGCCGAGTAAGCTATTCAGTTCCTCAGAGTATCGGTATGGGATTCTTCTGAACTTTCCCTCTCTGATCCTCTCTGCCAGCTGTTTCTGGTTGTAAGCAGTAAATGGAGGGCTAAACAGGAGAAATTCAGGCAAAATGTCTCACTTGCTGTCAACAAACCACATACTGGGGAAAAAAAACTGAAGCAGAGGAGTTGGAAAACTTACGATAATGCACAGAGTTCATACAGCAAACATCCCAGTGACCAAATATCTGACTTCTCGTTGTATGACATCCGGTTTATTTGTTCCTTTAAGAGAAAATGTTGACATATTGTGGGTAATTAAGCTACAGTTAGGAGGTCTGCTTAAATGCACCATATATGCGCAAGCAAACAAACAAGCAAGCAAACAAGCAAACAAACAAGCAAGCAAACAAGCAAATGGGTATTCTGAGAAGAAAACACCTCAGATAAACCAGAATTCAACTCACTGGAGACATATAGTAAGGTGTCCCTACAAACGTCTTTGCGAAACTGGTGTCATGATTTAAGATCCTCGCTAGGCCAAAGTCACCGAGCTTAACGTTCTGTCTGATGTCGAGGAAGATGTTGGCTGGTTTCAGGTCTCGATGAAGAACCGTGGCCCGACCATCGCTGCGTCTGTGGCACTCCTTCAGGGCTAACGTGAGCTGTGCCATGACTCGCAGGATGAACTGCTCCTCTAAATAACGCCTGTAATGGTGAACACAAACAAACAAATATAACATTCAATACTGCAGATACTGTCAGGAAGCACAGATATGAAGTGGAGGGACACGTAATTCATGAATTTTACATTTTCAACACTAGGTTTCACCTTTCTTTGATGCAGCGACTGATTAGACTGGACAGATCCCCACCCTCGCAGTACTCCATGACAATATACAGCATGGTGTTGGTACGGTCTATGATCCGGTCGTAGTACCTCACTATGTTTGGGTGCTTGAGCTCCCTCAGGAGGTTCACCTCTGACACCAGCATCTGCTTTTCATTCTCCGCCATGGTGCCATAGTCCAGCTCCTTCCACACCAGGATCTACAATACAAGAAGAGGGTTAATTAAACAGTTACAGCACACAGATGATAATCAAAGAAGTCATGACTGGGAAGGGGTTAAAGCCATCAACCAGGAGTCAGTGAACAGCTGGAGAAAAATCCAGGTGGCAATTCACAATAGACGCCAGAGACAAATCCTTGAACAGAGACTGGGGTAACAAGAAATCAAAAGACTGTGAAATGCAATTGAAAGCTCTGGAAAAAAGCTGTGCAATTTGAGTTCAACTATTTATTTATTTACTTTTTTTTCACTGCTATGAGTTTCCTAATAAAAAGGACATAAAATCTCCCAAACTGCTATCTCTCTCTCTATATATATACAACAATGAAAGAGTGACACCTGTGCTTTACCTGAGACAAGTCAAAATGGCTGCCTTGAGAAAGGTGTGTTAATCCGAAATTAGTAGCGGTCTCTTCAAATAGCTCCCAGCATATCCATGTGTATGACATTTTACAAACCAGCACTAATAAAGAAAGGCTATTAGATGCTAAAATGAAGTGACGAACACCCTTCTAGTTATCCTCCGCCAGTTATCTTTGTGTTACTGGACAGAAAGATTTTCGTGTAACATTTCTTGATAGCGGAGACAAAACTTCCTAACATAATAGCAACTAGTTCGCTATCTCATCATCAACAACAAAACCCGAAATTCACGGTCGACGGTCCAGCGTTTAAATCAAGTAAATTTATGTACACCGAGGTTATGCGTAACTACAGGTAAGCAATGTGATTTTTGTGCAGACAGACGTGTAAAGTTTACTCACTTTCCCGTCAGATTTCCGTTTTATTTTCTGGCATCTTCCATAGGAACCTGCGCCTATAGTGTACAACACCTCGTAGTCCTCAACACGGGACGGCATGTTCGTTAAAACCGAATCCAACGTTCAGTTAACTGACTTCACGTTAACCCAGCAACTAAACCTGTTAACGTTAGGACAGACTCGACTTCAGCATGAACTTAAACCCGCGACTTCCAAATTAGTCTCTTAGTTTTCTCCTGCTGGACGCCTTTAAATTTTATCTTTTTTATTAAAGACAAAAAGTTTGTTTTGTTTTAGGTGTCTTTCCTCGTCCACTCGTGTGTGTTGCAGGAAACAAAACAAGAAGCTAGTCCTCTCAGTTTAAATTAGTGCCCAAATCCACGATTGTGATTGGCCTACGCTCCTCACACGGTGACTCCTGATTGGTCAAGGCGAAAATGCAAGTTGTGAGGTTGCTAAGCGCCTGAAAAACCGCGAGAGTAAAGCGGGCTGATGACATGTATTCAACCGTCCACAGGGTGGCGCCAAAAACACACTCAACTCAACTCAGAGCCACTCTGTTTGGAAAAGTTTGGAGTGTACTAAATATTTAAGCACCTAAAGTAAAATGAGGATACTTTCAAAATAATACCACAAATTGTTTTTATTCACCAATTAACACTAAGAGCTGTAAACAGTAAAAACCCAATTCAGTATTTGGTGTGACCACCCTTTGTTTTTCAAACACCACCTTGGTACACTTGCGCACAGTTTTTCAAGGTACTTGGCAGGTAGGTTGTGGCAAGCATCTTGAAGAACTTGCCACAGTTCCTCTTTGGATTTAGGCTGTCTCTGTGTCTTCTGTCTCTTAATGTAATGCCACTGACTCCATGATGTTGAGATCGGGGCTTTGTGGGGGTCAGACCATCTGGGGGTTGTTGTCATGCTGCAGAATGAATTTGGGATCACCTGTTGGACTCTAATTCTGCAAAAGTACAAGTAGCCTATTATCCAGGTGTGTTTTATTATGAAATACAGTAATCCTTCCTCAGTGTAGTGGCAAGATTAAAATGACTTTCCACCTTAGACACATGGTTAAATGAAAACCTGAAAACTGTGGTGCTCTGTAATGTTCTTCATTGTGAAGCTTCACACAGTCATTCTAGTATGTTGAGAAAAGAGTTCTGAAATAGGTTGAGATTACAGATTGCACAGAAGATAAGTCATAAACTCTACTCATTACTAGTAGCCTTAATTACCGTTGCAGATTTTTATTATTCGTACAGTTATCATAATAGATGCATTAAAAGGGAAAGGGGGGCACTGAGTCAGCAAATGTACAGGGCGCAGATTCTTATACTACACCAGTGACTGTAGCAATCGTGTTCCTGGAAATAGGGTTAGGATAATTCAATTATTTAGCAAAATTGAAAAAAGATTTTGAAGATGGTTTGATTAAAAGAAAAAAAATGATTATGTGGGATTTTCCCATTTATCTTCAATAGATTTCTCAAGGTCTCACTGGAAAGTAATCTGCGGCAGTATTTGGAAAGCTAATCAAAAATTTATGATGTTGATAAGACGAATGAGGTTTAGTTCTGTCTGTCTCCAGAACAATGGCAAACACAGCATTTATTTATTATTCTATCAACATTTTATTTTATTTGTATATGAGAAATATGAGAAATAGAATTTAAATAGAATGTAAAAGCTCCCTTTGTTTCACCACAGTTCAGTATTCAAATTTCAATGTTTTTATTATAACTATTATTTACTGCAAATAGAGTATACAGTATACTATTTTAATATGGACGTCAGGAGGAGTAGTGGTTACCAAGGCAGCAAGAAATGGGGATCCCAACAAACACAAAACTATTTAACTTTGCCTCTGACAATTTTAGTATTTGATGCTGCTCAGATGAAAGAGTACTCAGAAAAGTCTTTTGTTCTATATAAATAAAAATTCTGAAAATATAGTAGATTAAATGTGATACACTCTCACATGGGATCCAGCTCTTTAAACAAATCTTCCTTCTCCTTTGATGCTCAGAAGCAATTTAAGTGGCTGAGTCATGTACAGAGGTGGAAAGGGCAAGGAAGTGTTTCTTGTAGCCAAAGCACTGGGACTTACATTTCACTCAAGGAACAGTAAGAATAGCTGTCTAGAAAATTAATTAAGCAATGGTAAAAATAGCTCTCCAAAAATATCCAAGGACCAAGTAACTTGTGAGAATAAATTAAAAACGAAAAGTTTTGTGTATCTTCTTAAATCTTCTAAATGAACAGACTGCCCATGTCCTCACAAACAAAAAGTAGCAGATACTTCAGTTCTGTTGAAAACAGCAAAAAGACCTGAAGCAGAAGTCTAAAATACCGCGCATCTGAAAGCTATACAGCATTTTTCTTATTGTTTTCTGTCTGTGATGCTGACTGACATGATCCTCAGGGCTTTGTTCTCCTCACCGTGTAATCCCCAGTTATTCCCGAATACATGAAAAGGTCACAGGCCGTCATCAGAGCAGTTTCCATGGCTGCATATGTAAGACACAGGGAAGGCTGATGGGTATCTTATTGTCACTGGCCATTTGATTTGACCAGCAGGACCACCTGAAGAGTGGCCATCTGAGAGCAGCAACACACAGCAACCTCTCACTCTGCTCCTATTTCTGGGTATAACATATGTCATCAATGCTCTGAAAAATATGCCGTATGGTTTACTGATGTTGGTATAGTCTCGCCGTTGATTAGTCGCTTAATCGCTTAGTCAATTGAAAGAAAATTAATCACAGAAAATTTTCAAGGTGTTTATCAAAGAAAAAAACAAACAAATATTTCTTGGTTTTAGCTTCTAAAATGTGAAGATTTGCTGATGTTCTCCATTTATATCACTGCAGATGAAAATCTTTGGGTTATGGACTGTTGAAATGAAAAGAAAAATGAAGACATTACTTAGTTTTTCACAAATTTACAACATAAACCATTAATTGAAAAAATAATTGACAGGTTAATTGATTAGAAAATGGATTGTTAGTTGCAGCAGATACTCAAAAAATAATAAAAAAATAAGAATACACTTTATTTATACTGCACTTTTCTAGATGTTCAAAAATACTTAAAAAAGGTTAAAGTTTTGTAAATACCCAGATATTGACTTTCTGCAGAAACAACTTTTCCTTTCTTAACTATACTAAGCTAATCTCTGAGGGAATAACCTTATTTTGGTTTCACATTCATTCTTAGTCTGTGCTGCATTTGATTTCTACACAAGGATCTTACAGCTGAAACATACTGAGATGAAACTTCTTGGATCTGGTTATTAGCTGTAGTAATGTCATGCATTGCATTTTCAACACATTTATGATTCCCTGACACTTCTACAAAGAGCAAAGAAGTTCAAGCGTGCATAATCAAAGCAAGACTTGAGAAAATCCTACATGTGACAGATAAAAAATAGTTTTTCCTCATTACAAGTAAACTCTGATGTGTGATTCCTGCCTGAGATAAATGCAGTCTCTGGGATTTTTGTCAGTAAACGGTGGTGTCAGCGGGGCAGCCACAGTAACAGTTGTGTTCAAATTATCCCTTCAGCCCGCTCTGCTCTCTGCTGCCAGTACCACACACTGACACCACTCACACCACCAAGAGAGTGAGCGCCCGAGCCGGTCTGTCAGTCTGCCTCTGCAAAGGTCACTCCTACAAAGAGCTGGAGGAGTTTGGACATCAGCCAGGAACAGTCTGGGGGGGCCGAGCGGAAAACTGACAGCTAAAAACAACAGAGACATTCGGGTGCCTGAGGCCACTCGTGACGTCAGCCGCCCCTGTTAAAGGCCAGGAGTTGAGAGGGAGCGGCAGGGAGGACAGACAGCTACATCCCGTAATAACCTCCTGACCTCTCCTGGGGTGACTGTGGTCCTGTAATGGGGGTGACAGGAGGCTTATGGTTCTCATGTCACCCCCTAACTCCCCCTTTTTTCGGGTGTAGTTTTAGTCAAAGAGAAAAATAACACACATAAAGGTGACATGAATGAATCACACACACCTGCTGGGTGATTTCTCTTCTTTGACAACATTAATAAGTGTTAGATGGGGGGACTGATACTGCTCTCATATCTGTATGGCAAATATGAGACTGCAGTCAGCAGCCAGTTAGCTTAGCTTAGCATAAAGACTGGGGACAGGTGAAACAGCTAGCTTGGCTTATCTGCAGGTAACAAAATCCACCTACGAGTACCTTTAAAACTCACCAATGAACGCTATTATGATATTATTATTCAAACTGTACAAAACTAAAGCGTAACACTGACAATTTGCCATTTTGCAGGGAATTTTGTGCCAGGCTGTTTCTTGGCCGGGAGCAGAAACTCCTAGCCAACAAACAGTCTGGCACGTGTGTGTGTTGCAGTTTATCATGAGAAACTGGGACATTGTTTCTGTAAGGACAATTTTTTCAAATGCAGTTTCTAATCTCAGAAGCAAATATCTCAAAGTATTGATATGTAAAACCAAAACTATCTGCACCATGGAGAGTGAGCAATGTTTTTCTTATTTGAGTGAATCTGTTCATTTTTTTTCACTGTTGCACTCCTGATGTGTTGACAAGATATTTGCATGCCATCTTAACAACTCTGAGGGTTCAACCCGCAGTCACACCCATCACGCTCTCTTGTGAAAGCAGGAATGGCCAGGGAGACTCTGCGATGCTGGCGGCTGCTGCAGTGACATTCAGCCCGGACCTCCTCTGCACAGCTGGATGGTTTAGTGCTTGCTGACTCAAGGGATGCCACCGTCACTACAGCATTCACAAGAGAGCAGGCATCAAAGCGTGACAGTGAGGTCCTTGGGGAGCAGTGCCCGTGAAATAGTTCATTGCAGGTGTCACAGGAGGAACACTGGTGCATTCTGCAGAGGACACAGAAGTTCCTCTGGAGCCTAATTTGTCTGTGTAATGTGGGTGACCTTGGAAAGAGGTTTTGGGCTTGTACTGAAGAGTAGGATTCTCCATGCAGGGTGATGCTACACCTTCTCCATCTGGACACCGCGCTGAGCAACAGATCACCCTGTGTTCTCCTGACTGTTAGCCCTTTGGTATGTTGGCGATGCTTCTTGCATATTTAATCCCATTTTCCAGCTCACTTCCTGCTGTTTTCACCCTTGATTCCCATTGGCTGCCTGAAGCTTGCGGCTTTCCTGCAGACCCGAGCCTCCACATATCACTCCAGCTGCCATAGAAATGTCGTTGATGGCACTCCGACTGGCCTTTGTGTTCATTTATCCTGTGAATCAAACAATTTTAGGGCACACAATACCCCCCCCCCCATATTGACTGTCATAGTCAATATAAGGGGTACTATGTAATGTTGACCATCTCTTAAACTGTGATAACACATTGTACTGGTCATAAATCAACTGGTCAATATAACAAAATACATTCATTCAGGTACTGTACTTGTATATTGTTGGAAATACCTTCACTCTCTTTCTTGAACAGAAAAATAAATATATAAAAAAAAATATATATATATATAAATAAATATGAAGCTAAAGCTGGCAGTCAGTTAGCATAGCTTAGCATAAAGATTGGAAGCAGAGGGAAACGGCTAGCCTGGCTCTGGCCAAAAGTAAAAAGAGAAACAAAGCATCTCTAAAGCTCACTAATTAGTACATTATATCTTGCTTGTTTAATCCATACTATCTACAGGCCAAAGTGACATTCTCAAGACTTGTTATTGACTAAAATACATCAGCAGAGACTCAAGGAGAGCAGTGCTCCTAGCCAAAAAATGGTTTGGCATGAAGCCTGTAAAACTGTAGCTCGTAGTTTCTACACTCTGGGTTTTGTAAGGATTTAACAAACAGGATATAATGTTAATCAGTGAAATTTAGAGGTCCTTGTAGGCAGATTTCGTCACCTTTGGGCAAGAGAGACTTCCTGTTTCCTCATGTTTTCAGTCTTTATGCTAAGCTAAGCTAACCAGCTACTGGCTGTAGCTTCATATTTAGCATGCACCTAATTCTTGGAAAGAAAGTGAATAACTGTATTTCCTAAAATCTCAAACTATTCCTTTAAGTACAGACAGTTGTAGTACATCATCATTTTATGGTACTTGTTTTAACAATATTCTACAAAAAGAGTACCATAAAGACAAGTTGGATTGAATTAAAAACAGATTGAAATGTTCTTACTGCACTGCTAATAGGGGGTTTTAGGACTCAATTTTTGACAGAAATATCTTTATAAGATTTAGGTTTTGCAGAAACAGCCCAAACTTTATCAAGTTGTACACTATGAAAGGAGACACGTTTACTTGTAATGGAGTACTTTAACATTGAGGTATTATTACTTTTACTGAAGTGAATGATCTGAATATTATCCACTCCTACTTAGTTTCCCCTTAGTGTCTCCCCTTACCCCCAACCTCTCTGCATTTGGCTGTACTCCACACACACCTGAGCAGAGGTACAACAGGTCTCAGTCTCTCTGTGACGGATGCAGCCATTACTCCCTGCTAAGGTAAGGAGATGTCTCCTGTCTTTGGCTGAGAGTTCGCACCAACATCAAGTCACTGTCAGAGACCTGACGTCACAACTGAAATCAGAACTCACAACATAAACCAGTGACTGTCAACAGCCAGTGACTGACACCACAGTTAAACAACGGGCACAGAACTGAGCAAACACAGGCTTCAGTTACCTGGAGACTGTCCTCAGCTTGTATCTCAGTGCACAGAAAATGGATAAGTTGACATTTACATTTGCATACAAGAGAGAACACCCCCCCATAAATGACAAACTGTACAGAGATATTAACCCAGGCTCTTGTCCATATCCATCATCACAACCATTTTGACTTGTGATCCCTTATATACAAATCAATGAATACTTGTGACCCTTTACCACCAGTTTGGTAAGTCTACTGGTTGTGACCAAAATATGTTTAACAAAGACCCAACCAATTCTTTGATACATAAATGTAATACTTGAATGTACATGTATACCTCTAGTAAGTTATTTTCCCTCCTATATATACGTTTCAACTGAATGTCGTAGGCTACTAGCATTAGCTTTTTACCGAAGGTTAATTTTGTGCAAATGTCTCAATCCTTTTCACTTTTCTTCCTCGTTATGTTCTTAGAGACATTTTTATTGTAATCTTACTTTGACCATTTTCAATAAAAAAAAAAAAAAAAACATGGAAAAAGAAAAATTATTTATAAAAATGATTTAAGTGAAAAAACACAGTAAAACCCTATGATTATCTTGTGACTATGTGAATGTCCTGTATCATTATGCTTTACCATTTCCTGTGAGGCAACAGTATTTGCTTTATAGAGTTCATAAATATATTAAAGAGAAGCAGTACACGGGTTAGGATCTTTATGATGTTTTATTCCAGCACAAGTTTTTTGTGTTGTAAAATGGCTGTGTAGCTAGGAATTAAAGGAGAAGTACAAAATGGAAAATTACAGACAGTTCTAGTATAATTTGTTTAAATCCCTATTTTGTTTATTTCCTAAAACCACATCTAGGAAAACATTATTTCCCTGCCTTCTTTGGAAACATGGTCAAATAAAAATTAAAAAAGAAAAGAAAAGAAAAAAATTAAAAGGCAAAAAAAAAAAGAAAAAAAAAAAGAAAAAAAAAAGATGAAGGTTCATTTCAAGTCACTCTCACGATGGAGGGGAATCTGAAAGGGCCGCTGGATGAAACACATTTACAGCCTGATTCAAAATGTATTCACCTACCCAATCAGGTAGCCCTTTTTTAAAAAGTTTCACACACAGTTTCTACCAACAGTGGCGCACAGGGAGGGCAGTAACTACTAAGCACCTTTTATGCATTAGTTCTTAACAATGATAACTGCTGCTCCTCTATAATTTTCCTATTTAAAGCAGGCTAAGCAAATTACATATAATTGACCTCAAAACCACAACACAAGTACATTCGAGAGAGAACAGCTGCATCATTGCAGGGCCCTGCCAGAGTTTCCCTTCTAAGTGAAGAGTGATCCCTTCCTCACTGGCCCAGTTTTAGCTCGACTCCTTGGAACCATCTTTATAACAAACAAACCAAATGTTTGTCCAGAGGGATTGTGAGGAAACAGCATTATTTGGGATTGTGGTCTACCAGGACATCAGGTAAGGCTTGATAGTCGCAGTTTTTCCACTAATTCCCGATGATTTAACATGTACAATTGTACAAGTCTGAAACTGGGCCCATGTTTTGCTGTGCAAATAGTGTGTCAGCCAGGACACAGACATACAGTAGCTCTAGTGTCTTGAAGCACACAACAACTTCCTGCTCAGGAGTTCAAAGAAAAAAAAAAATACAGGTTTAACACTGAGAAGTGAAGGGAAAATCCTTGCTCTCTTCTTCTTCCTTTTTTTTTTTTTTTTTTTTTTTTTTTTTTAAACATTCATGATAATTTAAACTAAAATTCTCTGAAATTATCACGGACCAAAAGAGAGAGAAACGCTGCAGTTATTCCATTTCCAACAATGAAAACTCTTCCTCTGCTTTATGTACAAGATTTAAACATACCATGACATGAGGACAAAAGTTCATGTAATTTAAAATGAAATAAAATTTGACCACTTGTGGTGAAATTGCCGCCACACTCTGACGTCACAGAGCAACACGACATGAATCATATATATCAAAAATGGGGGGGGGGGGGACAACAACCACACACACTCACTTAGGCAGGTTATGCTGTAAATTTACAGTAATGACACCTATAGTTCTGTAAGCCAAAATCTCTATTTTAGAATGCTGAACATTAGGGTAGCTTTCTATAAAAATCATATTTTTTTTCCATGTCTTTTTCCCACCCCGACAACACTAAGCATATGGCTTAAATATTTGTAAAACTATATAGTCCAATGGGGGAATAAGAGTCTGTGCCTTCTCAGTCTGGCTTGCTGAGATGATCCTCGAGACAGACGTCTACTCTGCTGTGTAGCTGCACATGGCCGTGTGTGCGCATGTGTTATTTGTCTGTGTAAGTGTGTGTGTATGCATGTTGGAGAGCAGAGGGTGAAAAGGAGAATCCACATAGAGAGAATTACTTCATAGGTGATCAACTCTTGCCCTGGGTGCCACCAGACTTTTTTTTTTTGTTGTTTTTTTTAATCCTTTTTTGAATTTGTGTTTCGGCACCGTCTCCTCTTCCTTCCTTCACGTTTGAAACAGAAAAAGATCCTTGATCAAGCACCGCATCATAGCCACCGTCCTTTTAGGCTTTCAGCAGGGCTGCCAGTGTAAACATGATCCCCCTTTTTCAGTGAGCTCAGAATACTGCCTCAACAGACAGGCGGACACAGGAAAAAAGTTCCAATGACAACAACATTAACAATAACAACAACGACGACGACAAAAAAAACCAAAAAGAAAACCAAAAAAAAAAAAAGACTACAAATAACGATGGCTGTAGTTGTGGAGATATGCAGGTTAAGGGGAAGAAAACAAAAGAAATTAAAACACTGACAGCTACCATTCAGGAGCATTTCCTGGGGCAGGGAGCAGTTAGGGCAGTATGGATCCTTAGTGCAATGAATGCCAGAGGAGCAGCCAGCTGTGCAGCCTCGACGTTCATACAGTCGCTCGCTCTGGAAGGTGTGGCCAACCGGGTAGTCGGCGGGCTGAAAGAGAGGTCCAGTGGGCTTCGTCAGCTCTCGCCAGGAGGAAAAATAAGGGCAGACATTATGCTTCTAGTCACATAGATTCACTCACACACGCGTCCATACATACTTTATACTCTGTAAAACTACTACGGCTAAAGCCTGGGAGGGGAAGAGAGAGAGAGTCCGGTCCAGAACGTCTTCTGGAGGAGTCCTGAGCCTCATTTTCATTAACTTTGAATAAAAAGTTATGTACGTGTGAGCGTCTACGTGTATGAGGACGTGTAAACATCAAAATGTGAGTCGTGACGAGTGCGAGAGATTATTCTGCTAGGCCGTTGGAGCGAGTGTGTGGTGTTAGGGCTGTGTGTTAAGTTAACTATGCCTGTGAACAGTCTCATATCGTATGGGCTTCTGTAATCTGTGTGTCTGTGTACTTGTCTTCATATGTTTGCTGTTTCCGGTTTAGTCTCTCCACTGTTGCAAATGTACATTCATCCATCGTGGGGGGGGGGAGGGGCATGTATGACGCTGGGCCACACACCAACCGATCCTGAGGCTTTTCCAGTGGTCCGATTAAGACTCTCGCCTCATCAGCGCACTCAAAATAAACAGCAGTAGAGGTACTGGAGGACGCTGTACCACATGTAGCCGGAGACAAAAGCAAACGACTGGATGATGCACAGCCACACAGGGTCAAGGGTCATCTGCCGGGAAACAGCCTCCTTGTGTCCTTCTGGAGGGGGGAATGATCCTGTTTAGAAACGGATAAATACAAACTTGTCAGCAGTTTGCTCTTACGGAGATTTCTCGGTCTTTGATGCCACAGAGGTTGTGGTGATTTAAAATTGAACTGAAATTAAAATTTATTTTGGCTTAGAAATCTTAGAAATTCAATGTGTTCGACGCATGACCCCCCACTGCTGGCTACTTTTGCTCTGTTATGTATATTGAGTGTTTAATTAACAAGCGGTACCCGATGCAATTCGTAAAGCTGTACAACTCCTTCTAAATTATTATCATTTATTATTATTTAACTTTACCAATGATTGCTTTACAACCATGTTGGTGACACTTCTGTGGAAGATAACGTCGCTGCGGAAAATCCTCCAACTTCAATTACAACCAGGAGACTGATGTGAATGGTTATTCTGATGTGGTAGCTTGTAAATAAAGATTACAACATTAGCTTAACCGTCCTGAGAGACAACACTGAGCAGGCGTGGCAATAACATGAATAAAAATAGGCGTTTAGAGGGAGTAAGTGCTAACTGATGCCACCAAATGCAGAATGCTGTGAGGGGACAGAGGGCTTCAACAGTTCAGGAGCAAAAAAAATACTTTTGTTTTTGTTCATACACCTAACGGGGCAATAATATGCTATTTAGCTATATAGTGCATTAGAATTACTACCTGTCATTTATTGAGCGTCTCTGAGCGAGTTTATCTTTCCACTATACGATGCCCTCCAACATGCCACAACTGAACGAAGTAAGCAGCGTCCATGGCATGAACATTTCAGAGATGAGAAGACGACTGCTGCAACTCAAACTTATTGTAAGCAAGTGTCTGAAATTTCATTTTACTGCCCACTCCTGAGTGAACTACTGTTTGTATTATATAGGGATCAGTGAATGAGGAAATGAGGGAGTGATTTCCACAATGTCCACAAGCAGTTTCTTGCCTCTTTTGAATAATAGAGAAAATATGTGCGATAGCTGCACTGTTATTATGTTTATTATTTCAGTTTGACTTTACCAAAGTGAGACAGACCTGTGTCGTAGAAATGGGCCAGCAACTCTTCCTTCTCCACAAACCTCTGATACAACCAATCAGTCAGGGCCTCTGCCTCCACAGGAACCTCTTTTATTGGGTACATCCTGAAGGAAAAGAGAGACAGACAGACAGGGAGAGTGATGAGAAACACACACACACACACACACACACACACACACACACACACACACACACACACACACACAGAGGATAACTGAAGTCTCTCTCAGCAGAAACTGTCTGCATTGATCCGTCGTGGAAGCTGCAGTCCAAACCCAGGACGTCAGCGATGGTCCCTGAGCAGAGCAGCCTACTTCAAACCACAGTCTATTACAGCAAGTCTGTCTTTGCTGTACCTTCAGCTTGTTTTAGGGATTCATTAGTTTGGCAAGCTCATCAGAGTGTCACAGGGAGACAGAAGTGCTGAGGGGGACCCCTGACAGGACACAAGACAGGTCTGCAGCTCCACAAAGCGGCTGTTAGAAGTGAGTGGGAAGACGAGACCGACAAATTAGATCGAAAAAGTTAAATCAGTTTTGCTGTCAAGGAAGGGAGAAATCACATCTCCAAACCAGCGCCGGCCTCATGGAGCTGAAATATCATTAAATCGTGACGAGGCGTAAAGTGGTCAGGCTTTCAGCGTTTTGAAATCAGACACAGTGTTTTACGTGTGTGGGGGGCGCTGTGGTCGTACAGCAAGACTCCAACTGCAAAAAATATTCATCATGACTTTCCAGAGCCCATGTATTGGTAAATTGATTGATTGAGATGACAGATTGTATTTGCTAGAAATATCCTGAAAAGATAAAAGTAATGGTATTTTATTGAAAAAGAGTGCTGTTTAAGCAAAGTAGGAATTATACAGTTGCTTTGTTTATTTTTCTAATCACATATGAGAAACAGTGTCCGCTGCACTGGCTGACATTGTGAAAACAGTAGGAGGCTTATAAAAAAATAAAAACTAAAAAAAAAGGGTCACTTTTACAGGCCATGATGAGAGTGCTGATGAAATCTTGTTTTTAGCCAGAAGGGGTCCCTAGTAGGCTGCACTCCCACACAGGCAGCTCCTGGTCACCTTCAAATAGAGGTTACAGTCTCCTCCCTCAGACAAGCATTTCCTCTGCACTCAAGGCTTGCTCAATATTCCCGACAGGATAACGTCCAGAGTAACAGTACGTCTGTGCCTATGAGGAAAGCTTCTGTAAGAGGGAAGTAATAAGTGATACAGTATTGATCAGTAGAGTGTTCAATATGTATTAGAACGCAATCTAAGAGAAGACAGTTGTCCTGTAAAAAAATGATGTCTTTACTTTTAGATGAGGACAGGCATGTTTCTTCTGCTACGCTGCAGGTACAAACGAATGATGATGAGTTAAAGACAATCTCCAACCTCAGTCACTGCAGCTACATGAACCACTACTCTCACGATTGCCTCAATAAAAATGTCATTAATACGAAACTAGAAAATAATCAAGAGTGTTAAATGAGTTTCTGAACGAGTCTTTATTCTGATTCTGAGTGGGATAAAAGTGAGCTAAAGGGACTCGTTCAGACAGAAAATTAATCAGCAACTCAAATGTCTATTATTATTTGCTGCTAATCTTTTTCAGATACGACAGTAAACTGAATATCTTTGGGTTTTGGACTGTCCCCTTCATCTCTGGGAGAATAGAACAGGCTTTTTTCCTGACCTTTTATTTATGAAATAATTAATTGTCGAATCAAGAAAATACTTGGCAGGTTAAGTGAGAATGAAAATCACCATAAAAGTACAGAACCGAAATGAAAATGAACGTGCAGCTATGTGGATGATTGTGTAATCATTTTTGTAATTTCTTGAAGCAAAAAAAGTGAAATATTTGCTGCTTAAAGCTCCTCAGACATCAGGATTTGATGCCCTTCTCTATCTTATATTAATGTTAAGTAAATATCTTTGGGTTTTGGATTTTTGGTCAGACAGAATAAGGAATGTTAAGACTCCCCATTTTATTGACATAATGATGAACTGATTAATTTAAAAAAAATAATCTGAAAATGAATTGATACTGAAAATAATCATGAGCTGCGGCCCTAATTTCCACAAGAGTATATTCAGGATGGTTATAATGATCAATATAATGTAAATACAAAATAATCACAATAAACACTCACATGACAATTTCAATTGTGTTGAACAGATACTAATAAAGTTTAACCCTTTGATTATTGACATTTCTTTTGAAATGAGCCCGTACCGTCTGGGTCTACATGAAGCATTTTTATTCTCACTGAGCACATATGCTGAATATTATTAATGTAACATTAGGACATTAGTGCAAATAGACAAAAATTGGTCTGAAGCCATTCGTATGACCATATCAGGAAAAGGCTTGGCATTCTTGTTCCACACATCAGAAGAGCAGGAGCTGATGATTCAACACAGACTTCCTGTTGGTTTGTATATCTTAAGTGCATATCTATGGACACTTCTCCTCATTATCCAGCAGTTCAGTGTGTGAGTGCTGCTCTGTGGCAAGTCTGAACAAGGTCCTGTTTAAGTAGAGCAACTTTTATGTCCCAAGCGGCATGAAACTCCTGTTAAATTCAAGATAAAACTGAGTAAGATCAACCACTTTCATCTGTGAAAGGTTCTAATTAAGCTGAATTTTTGAAGATAAAAAAAGCTTTTGACCAACAGCTACACCAGCCACCCCCCCCGAGCAGCTCAGGCTGCCCAAAACTGGTGCTAAGCTGCTGTGGCCACCTGATAAGGTGATTAGAGGTCAAAGCAAGACGTTCCACGAAAGCTTCTCCTACTGTGTCTGTGAATATCAGGTATCTCGTGTGTTACTGATGTGCCATAGGAACCAACCACTCACACTGATGCTTTTCAAACCACTGAGGAAAAAGAATGAGTTCAGGAAGAGGCTGAGAATAATAGACACCATCAGTACCCTCTAATAATAAGACTGATGAGATAATATGTGGACAGAAAGTAGCAATTAAAGCAAAGGATAAATCAAACAAGTCACCACTACAACAATAAAAGCAGTGTTTTCCTGTAACTGCCTTCTAGTTGTAGTGATACGTGGTAATTTGTGGTTTTGGCTGCACATGCAGCTCCCATTACCAGTTTATTTTTGGGGTGTAAAATTTAGCAATTTTTTTTCACAGTAATTATCATAGTGGTGGTGTCATTAAATATAAGTGCATGAATGAAATATGATTAAAGCAAACATGTGTGAGCCTTGAGAGTTTTTCACACCTGCTCCAGTATAGGACGCCTATATAGGTCCTCTCTGCTCAGAAATGTAAACGATAGCTCTGCAACTCTGGCAGAGGAGAAAAGGAACCGGCTTGCGCCGCTTATTGGAGGGTTTGTGCATTTTGGGCCTCTGGTAGCAGGTGGATACCACAGCGCTTTCATGGAGCTGAAATATTCATGCAGAAATCAGGATCTTTCCGTGTCTGCAAAGGCTGCTGAGGTTTGGAGGAGGCGCTGATGATTCAGATCCACAGGAAATCAACACAACAGCTCAGATAGAGGGATGTTGTTTCCTCTCCCCTTATCCGCCGCTTTCACTGGTTTAAGAGCCAGGTTTACTTGGAAACAGCGTCAGTAGCCACATCTGCAAAAGTGGCTTCACATTAACCACTTGCAGCTATAGTCGAAACAGCACGAAGGGAGTTCACAGGGTTCATTTCCTGCCAGAAAACACCTGACTCTGCATCTCAAGACATTAACAAGGACACTGTCTTGCTCCAGTCCTGTGGATAATTTCTGATTGTGGCTGCATTTTTTTCATTATCAATTAATCTCTCCATTATTTGTGCCACATTAAACGTGATTATATGTGTCAGCAAAAATCTAAATGTGTCTTACATAATATCATATATGACAAAGAAAAGCATTCAATCCTCATAGTTCAGAAACAATGATTAAAACGATTAAATGAAAGATTAACTCGCTTTCCATTATCTTTATACAGAATATTAAAGAATGTAATATTATATTATACTTGCATCAATTACTAGCTTGATGAAAAACTAATGACTACAATGAAAAGCACAATTAACAAAAAGACTCTACACTTTTTAATAAACCATTAGCAACAGTCCACAATACACACAAAGTTAGAAGAAGTCTTCCTCAGTGTGTGTGATATTATTTTAATAATAACAATATATGCTACACAAAATAACACTAGCTATACATTTTTCAAGGTCTTAAACTTAGGTGACAAGTTATCCTTTCAGCATGTGCAGACAGTTCTCTGGATGTGGTGCAGATGCCAGGACTCCACTGGCTGCTGATATGTAGCAGGTTGTACTGAAGTTCAAGCTGCGGCCAACATCAGCGATCTCGTTTTGGCTCACAGAAAACAAACGGACTTTGATCAATCAGTTTAACATCTCGCCTGGGGTGAGATGAACAGTCGCTAGCAATGCGTGTGTGTGAAAAATGGAAACATTGCTCTACAGTGTCAATACTGCGCTGAGTGAAGGGAAACGGCGCACGGCTGCATGTGTAACAGTGTACAGTAGCGATGGAGGCGACAGTGGTAGTGGTGGTGAGGAACTGGTGGTGATGTGCTGGAGTGAGGCCACGGCAGCTCTCTCATTTCCACCCTAACCCACTTGGCACCGGCCCGCTTGTTAACCTGACACCCTGGCGCAGAGACAGACAGCTGGGGGAGAGCTGCACTTTCTCCTGTCAATACCCTTCAACATCAGACTTTTACCATGTCTTGACCTGCGCTACATGAAACAGATGAGTTTGCAGAATAGATAACAAACAAAAATCTCAAATTTAGTTAACGGATTTTAATTACAGCTGTTACTTTTTTGGCAGATAGAAAAAAGGAGACAAAAAAAAAAAAAAGACAAATTAGGGTTACGAACAGTGTGAATAAGAAGCTCTTGATCCTCTGTATTCACCGCCTTGTATAAACCATTTAGCTCCTGAACAGCTCTTATTCTTGAGATATTGTTTTCCCTCCAAACTGGGCTGAGAAGCTAATTAAATTTGGACTGTGGCTGGAGAAGTCCGTCCACTCAACAAGCCTCTTTGGAGGGCAGCCAGTCATTGTTTGGGGACTCTACACGGACTTAAATCTCTACGGCT